ATATACCGGGAGAAAAAGAGAGAGAGAGAGAGAGAGAGAGAAACGGCGAGACTGCCACACCACCGAGACCTACGGACTCATTTCAATTTCTATCCGCCGAGCTTCTCGAGATTTCGAAAACCCAGTCGGATAGGACACGACGTCGTCTCCCCGCGACCGTCTCTTTAACCCGCCGAAAGTTGCTTCACGTCACAACGACGTATGCTGGGAGGGGCAAAATTTCCTCCATCTTTTACAATTTGCCGCACCGGCCGATCAGAAGATTATGATCGACCGTCGACTTAACGAGGATAAAGACCGGGAGGTCGGGCGAAACTTGAAGAAACCGCGGACTCCGAGCACCGAGTTATTTATCGATCTATTCTTCTCCGAAAGTTCGCGAGAGTCGCAACCGTTACGCAACTTTCCCTCCGCCGGGATCTGTATTTTGGCGGACGGACAGGGCTGTCACCCTCTTCGATTTTCGCTCAGAATTTCCGGGCGGGGGGAAAGACCTCAGGTCGAAAGACAAAATCTCCAGGCCAGCGCGGCGAAACTTGGTCTGGGCGTGATGAGCGTCTTAAAGTGGAATCAGTGAAAGCCGAAAATTGGAAATGAAAATGTTCACAAGTTATGATGATTACCAACATATTCGCTCCTTTTACCGAGGGAGAGCCCACTTCGCCGATTTCCAGGCGGGCGAACTGAGGCGGCACGCGGGCCGTGTTTGAAGGGCGTGCCTGAATTCTTTGCATTTACCGACATATCCCACTTTCGCGAAATAGCTGGCAGATTGCCGGACGAAACAAAGGCGGCACGGGCGAGCGGAGGCGAACTTCGAGTATCGGGACAAATCGCGTTGCGTAAGACGCCGCCGCTGGCTCCTTTTTATTTCCCGGAAATCTCTCCACGGGATTTATATACGCGGAGCCTGTTGGGCAAAAGGATGACAGGAGCGATCGGCGTGCGTATCGCCGCCGTCCTTAATGCGAACTCGCGCGCGAGTGTGTCGTGGGTGAGCGGCCGGGCACACGCGAGAACGGACGCGCGCGCTCTCCTTGATATTTAGCGATTGATTGGCAGGATCGGCAATTTGGCCAATTACCGGCGAGCTTCATGGAACAGCGAATCGAAATTACACGGTCGGCGCGACGCCTAAGTCCGCGAGAGACGATGTGTGTATATATAGTCCGTTGTTGTGATACCCCGCGCTCTCTTTTTCTCTCTTTCAGCCGGCGATTTCTGCCTTCTGCGCTCGATCGAGGCCGAAGGGCATCGATCCGATAAATAAAGCCGTGCTGCTCCCTTCCACGGATTCCGGGAGCAGGGATTTCGCGATTCCCCGTGATTCACTCATCGCGCCGTGAATCAGACGACGCTCTCGACGCGAGATCGATTAGGCCAAGATGGTGTGCCGTTAATTCGGATGCGATCGCGGCGTGGGACGAAAAAGCGGCGCGAATCGACCGGTGAGAGAAGTAGAGGGAAGGAAAGCAGACGATCTGCGGGTGTGTTGTCGGTTTCCCCAGCGAGTGAAATATCAAGATTCAATCGTTCCTGTGCACGGAGAAAAATATTGTAATAAGAATCGCCGCGAAATGTTGGCAATGCCAGCCGTATCGGAATTATGACTGAAATTACGAAGCGTTGCAATTTCTTCGGGCGGTTCGCACATTCGAATTCGTGCTTGAATTTTCACATTTCAAAACTTCATTGCTCGAATACCACGTGTCGAAGATCCAGAAATTCCAAGCTTCGAAGAGCCGAAGCTTCGAATATCATTTCTAGGCCTGACATAATTTTATAGAAAGATAAAACTTGCTCTTATATAAAGAAACTCTTATAGTTCTATTAATAATATCATATGCTTGTTGTTCGAGCAATTTTCGTGAATTGAGAGGACAAAATATTGATAAGAACGTTATCTGCAAACTGACGCGATTCTTATACAATTTTTATCGAATATTTTTTCCTCTCTACTTATGAAAATTATTCTCGAGTAACATGAATAGATTTTTTCGTGGGACTGTATAGAATTTCTTCGTGTATAAGAACGAGTTTTATCTTCGCGTGAGGTTATACGTTCGTGTTTATACATGTGTGAGAATGTTGAGTTTTGAATTGACGTTCATTTCTTTTCTACGTGGACTGTGCACAATTTTTAATCGGACTTCGTGAAATTTTCAAACAATCGCTGTGGGGCAAAGTTAATAGGATCGCGCGTCGCGTACTTTACAAGTTATCGGGCACTAAAAGCACGCGTTATCACGAGCTATTAATCTATGAATTTTACTTAACCTATCAACTGCCAGTGCTCCATTTATGCGATGCTCCCTTTTATCATATAAAATTACTTCGTTAATGACATGATCTTACTTTTATGTTTTCACCACCCAAGTTTCCAGTTTCATCGATATTTTCCCGCGCAAATTATAACATTCACCGGAAACCCCCGATACAGGGGAAAATAAATAGCTTAACACTTTAATTGAAAACGTTTGAAAACTAATCAGAGCCTTTGATGAATCGAGCAACCTCGAAATCAACAAAATGCTTCACGGTCGTTCGCGATGCTAAAAAAAAGAAGTGCACGATATCGACACGATCAATTTCCGGGGTCGCGGCGGACACTACAATGCGTTGACGTGACCGTGTTTTATCACAGGGATGACTTTACGCGCGCGACGCGACGTCACCCCCGTGGATTCGCTCGCGCGCGCTTCGCGGCTGCGTCGCGCAGCCAATGGGAATTAATCGTCGTCGGTCTTCAGGGCGAGCCTCTCGCGAAATCCCGCGTCAGCTTACGCGCGCGCGGCGCATCGAGGCCGACAATGCCTCGCCGGTGCTGGACGAGTTCCGCGCGTTGACGGACGCTGCGCGTTTCGACAGCCCCGCTGACTGCCGCGGTGCGGAAACTAATCGCGCGCCGCCAAACTACGAATTGCCACGCGGCGGACATTCCGTGCGTCGGCATACGCGATCTCACTCGCTCGGCAATCTCGCATGCACGCGGCGCGTCGCAATTTTGCCGCATCGTACACGTATTTCCGCGGAATGCCGACGCCTCTCGACGCCGCTCTTCTCGACCCGGCGAGCTTGCTGAGCGGCACACGGAACGTGCGGTCGTAATATTCGCGCGCGCGGAAGTTTTAACACGAGCCATTTCGGTTTTCCGATCTCGCCCCCGCTATCTCCCCCCCCCCCGCGCTCCGTTCTTTTTCTCATCACCCCCG